AAAAGTTACAGTAACTTCACAAAACAAATTGGTAACTCAAAAAAATTTATCCAGTCTGAAACATCAACAGGTGTTATCTAAAATTCTTCAGTATATTTAATTAGTCTTAAAGTTAGTGTATGGTAAGCTTAAACATGGAATTCTTACAAAGACACGTCGTTTTAGTTAGTAATTATTCATTTTAACTTTTCCAATCAGATTATGGCCTGTTTATTTCCATAGAACAGTGAAAAAGTAGCCTACTTGTTTTATTACATCAGGTAAACAGATTGCTGTTTTTTATTGATTTTACTCATCCAATAACCATAAATAGTTTATCGTAAATACATGCAAAATGGACATTTGGTTTAATAAATAAATAAATCCGAAGCTTGTAACTTTTATAGCCATTACCTACCTACATTTTCATTGATTAAAAAAAGAGGGAGGCGAACGACAAACAGCCAGGAAAATGAAACAGATTCTTTATTTTATAGATCGATGATAATGACTGTTGTCTACTGAAAAACACTCATTAGGAAAAACCAAAGAAGCATTAAAAGTTTCAAATACAAAAAAGGAATCCAATACATTTGTTGTACTAAATATAAACGAGCATATGTATATATATACCCTAAAAAGCAATGTATTTTTTATAATGTGTTCGAAAAAATTACACAGTTTACTAAGTAATTTGCTAAATTTTGTAGTTACATATAATTTGTACCAGCTAGTGCATACACTAAACGTATTAGTAAATTTGATAAGTGTACATCTAGTTGAATAGTATATTAGAATTTAAAAGTAAGGTGAAATTTTCAATGTTTTCATTGATATACAAGGGACGTTTACGAACGAATCATTTCAGGGAAAGCATTAATTACTTAAAGTAAAATACCTGCTATCTGTTAGTTCTGTCATTGTTAGGGAATAAAATAACCACATTCCCTCATGAGAACATCTTTGATGTTTGAGAATTGTTAGGATATACTGTTAAGCTCCTACAGAACTCTCTTTGAATACATAAATGTTATCTGAAAAAATACCTGTGTATTTTGAATAGTGAGTTTTAAGCCCATGAAAATGTCTCCACTTCAACATATCTCACACAGAGTGGAAAGAGTAAAACACTAACATATTTATTGAAACCGGTATATTTTATTGCCTAATTTGAAGTTTCACATTTTATCTGTCCATGTTTTACATTTCATTATCAGAGCAACACTTTTTAGTGTCGATACGGTAAAGTTTTAAACTGAAATAGTGGACAAATTTTGAAAGCAAATAACTTGAAAGTACGTTTTATCTACTCTAATATAATTATATTATCTAAACTTTTATCCGTGGATCCTACTGTACTTTGCTCCTCTTGGGAAGTTTAAGAAAAGATTTAGAATACTGTTCAGGCAGTCAGATATCCTCCCAGTACTGTATTAAATTTCAAACGTTGAAATGGCTGTTCAGTCTATAGCACTATTTGTTGGGGTGATTCATCATTTAAAAGTTGTTGATGTTATTCGATATTTTTTTTCTTAATTTAATATATTACATGTATTAGATTAACAGACGTAAGGAAATAATTACTTGGGTCATAACTCTTCCTTTTTACATGAAAATCTTATAGTGATGCGTAATATATAAAGATGTACTTGAATGTTAATTCAATCATAATCCAGTCAGTTATATAGCGGAAAGACAAGAATATTTTTGCAGAGTATTACTTACTGTAATTGAGATCACTAGTAAGAAGTGAAGACCCGGGTTAGCATCTTTTATCACTTAAGATTCGAAATCATTTGAATCTCAATATTTCAAATACATTGCTATCAATAGCTATTATAGTTAATAGGAGAAATTGACTTACCAGATGTTGGAAAAAAATCTCTCTTCAAAAGAAACTAATAAAAGCTCAATCACCTAGACTAATTGTAAATTGCTGTGAAGTTTGAGTGTCGATCTGTCAGTAACTCAGTAATAAGGGTGTCATAAGTTATATTTATTGAAAGTTTTGTGTTTACTCATTAGATTTATTATCGGAATGTAATTATTGTCAAGTCGAGTTACATGTATGGTGATGAACTCATAATTTTCATTATCATGTGAAGTTTCAAATAACGATAATGAGAATCTCCTCATTTTGAAAGACAGATAGTTGAATAACTTCGACTAACCAAAAGTAGATGTTTCGTCGATAAATGTAGTAAAAATCTCCTTTGTTACTTCCATCATGAAGAATTTTTTTCAAATAATTAAAATAAAGTAGATTGGAAAATTGATACCATCTCATTCCGAACATTAGTGAATTCCGTTATAAAAATATTTCTTCTAAGATTGCCATAAATTTCCTGAGGATTAGATGTTTTGGGTCAGAAAAAATATTACTAAACACAATAAGAAAACAGTAACGTCTCAATAAAACTTAAGTTCGCTTTTTCCTATAAGTGAATTAGGCATCAGTTTAATTGTACTCAAATCATTCTGAATATACTCCTTAAATTTGTGAGCAACTATAGTACATTCACTTGGTATTGTTTTGCTCGAACCTTCCCATTGAGGTTTAAGACTGCAATTGACCAATCTGTTATTGGCATATGTGCCAATGTTCATGTTTATATTTTGTCTGTAAGGTAAATATTTTTTCTAAAGAGTCGACCACAGAAAGCCGACACTGATATACTTTAGTTATTTTAATTTAAGAATGAAACCAGTAAAATAAAACACAAACCAACATTTATCCAAAGAAGCAATAACGTGATTCGTCACCTCAGTTTTATTATTTCACTAATCAGTTAGCACGTAAGTATTATTACACATATGTTTAAGTAAGGAAGCACTCATTTGCGCATATGTGTCCTAGCTACCGGTCACTGACCATCTGTTTAGAATACCAAAGTGTTTCTAGGTATTTTACGTCTCCTCAAAAGAAAACTATTAAAAATAAGTTAATTGGACGACAGAAAACACGATTGATAACTGTAGAAAAATCATCATCATCATCACAATAATAATAATAGTAATATTTTACATATATCTTTATTTTTTATTCAAAATATAGAAAAAAAATTTCCCAAATGTTTTATTTCGATAATTACGCTTCAATGCACAACAAAATTTAGATAACCAGGTGAATATCTGTGATAAGATAAATTACATTTAATGTTGCAGGTGGATGATAAATTTCTTCAATTATAGCAGACAAAATACAATTACCCACTATTGTAGTTTCATTTAAACAGACAATATGAATGACATCCAAGGATAAGCTGTCGAAATTTTCGATAAATCAAATTATACTAAACTAGAACTAATTTCTAAGAGCATTGATATATATCAAAATTATGGTTTATTTATAAACCAGAATTTTTCTAAAGATAATGTGTAGGCATTATATACTATCGCTCGCATTTGTTTGGTGTCAATATGGGTGAACATCAGAAATAAATAGGATTATTAATAATCCTCCTAACTAATTGTAGTGATTGCATGATAATTTGGTAGGATAAATAATTGGAGTTTCGTCGAAATAACTTCTTAGGAAATATATCACATGGTAGTACACTTCCTACTATCTTCTTATTTGTGATATATATTTATATACCTTTGGTTGAGAATGTTCAGGCTTTGTAATCTGTTAAATTTTTTGATCTAGTGAGACTCATTATTATACAGAAAAACAGCTTACTTCAGGTAGAGACCTTATCTGTTATTTTGGGAGTATGCTACTACTACTACTACTACTACTACTACTACTACTTCTGCATTTGACTGGCTTATACTCATAGGTGATAAGTTGGGAAAGTGTAGAAGAAATCCACAACAACATGCATGACAATGAGTTTACTGATCACTACTGGTCCTTGTCAAAGAAAGATTTAGACAAGTTTTCCCATAATCAAGTAATACAGTGGCCATCTATGAGTTAATGTTTTGCTATAATTTACGTTGTTTGGATGCAACCGGCTCCCAGAAGGAATAAATCTAGATTACACAGTGGCTGAATGGTAAACAACTTCACATTCAGCAGTCCTTAGTGATAATTGAATTCTATAAATGAATTTCAAAATGCAGAAACGAAGAAAAAAATTTACTCATCAATCAAAAATAAAGATTTTGATATTATTAATTTGTATGTGACCAATTATTGCAAAATTCCATTTTCGTCCAATTGAACGTTAATTTATGTTGTTTATTTGAATTAAAAATCGGGTCATTTCTAACATTTTGATTAAATAATCATGAATGTCAGCAACTTTGATGTGGGTTACATACTCTATTTTACACATTGAAATTCCATACCCTGACTAAATACAATTCACTTCCAGGTTTAACATTAAAAGAAAAAAACTAAAAACAAATTAAGTGAATATTTTAGTACCAAAATAATATGATGCTCTGAATTTTTGTAAATAGTGAAAAGTTTCTGTCATAAACTCTTTTGTATGAATGATACAGATATCTTTTTAACTGATTGTCCATATTCTAACAAATACCTTACCACGTGCTCATCACTTTTTACGAGGTTGCATACGCGTCTGTAAATATGTAAAGTATCTGCTTTAGAATGTTCACCATTTGTGCAATACCTAGCATTTTCCCGTTCATTTAGTCAGTGAATTGTACGTATAACATCATAATTTTTACTGAGAACTTCATTCCAAGCTCTAACTTCCACTTTATTTGCCTTTTTCATGAGGTAAGTTTAGATGCTCTGCAGTAGCGTGTTCATAGAACTCATAAATAGATAACTATAGACGATTAATATGAAGTCCTCATTAAAAATTACACTGATATGAACAGAAAAAATGGTTGAAAATACTAGATATCGCATTTTTATTGAACACTGAAAAAATGGTGGTTATACTCACACCATGTTATTGAGTATTATAAATTGTGATTCCCGGCCATATTTCTCAACATAGCTATTACTCATTGACTTAGACAGCACGTAAATTATCTAGCTCTTGGTTACCCGACAAAAATTAGAACTAATAAACCGTTGATTCCGATTTTGGAATTCTTACCTGGATGCTGACTATTTACTCCACATCCTCCTCTTGAATTGCAATAGGTTGAATTCATAGATTGTGCTTTTTGGTCAACTTGAGATAAATTATTATTATTCCCAGTAGCAGCACCGGCAACAGCATCCTCGCAAATATGATGATGGTAAGTCAAATCATGTTTAGATAAATCTTTCTTTTTGCCTGTCATACATTTTATCCATGTTTCTGATGATTTCCTGTTACACCATACCCACATACCTGAAGTGATACCGACAACTAGTGACATAAAAATTTGTAGCATATTAGCTTCAACTGATGGGAAGTGATTATCACTAACGCATTCGGTGACCAATGACCAATTTGTACCGTATTCCGTCAAACAATTTGTTTGTTTCGCCAGTTTATCCAGTGTTTTCATCCATTTTGGGTAATTAATATAATTGTAAATATTCACACTAATAACACAGGCTTTTGGTAAAACATATAACATAGAAAATATGGCTATTTTTATCATCAATTTATCTAAACGTCGTATATTCCCATTATTGAGAGGAATGACTGGACTAGTTAGCGTTATTGGTTGTAGTGGTGTTGTTGATGTTGCTAATGTTGCTAAAACATTTCTTTTAAACTGTGAGTTATAACAGTTTGCTAGTGCTGTTGTCGTGTTGGCAACAGGCGTGAGACTTTTAACATGTTGTTTCAAGTTTGATCGAAGAGAAATCAAAGAATGGAAACCTACCAATAAAAACAAAATACCTAACAGCAGATAGATAACTTGTGGCAATAATATAAATGCAAGTAAACTCGTTGAATTTTGATAACCAACATTGCACAATCCAGTTAACTCATCTGCATCAATGCGGTGCATGATTAGTATGATAATAGTCTTTAACGCGGGAACTGCCCAAGCGAGCATATGTAAGATACTACTGATAGCTTCTATGCCTTCACATCCCCACTTACATGAAGCCGATAAAAACCATGAGATAGCTAACATAACCCACCATAAATAACTAGCTTGACTAAAATAAAACAGGATAAGAAATACGATAGTACACCATGTACCTTCATATCCAGAAGTTATCAGGAAAGTAACATTAACTTTCGACTGGGCCACACTTGTAAGGAGTTTCTTCGCTTCTTCTTGTGACACTCCGCTGGGCAATAATGATGATGAAATAGTTTCAACTTTGTTTCTACAAGAAACTGAATCACGTCCAATTAGAGCGTGTAAAATGAACCCAGTAGAGTAAAAAAAGTAACAAACTGATATATAAATAATCGGTCTCTCTGGATAAGCGAAACGTGAACGGCTTAAAGTAAATGTAATCATTGTCATTGCGCATGATGCCAAACAAAGTATGGCCCAAACTAACATCCAAACATTGGCAAAACGTTTTTCAATTGGTTTGTAAAACAAATGAGCGCTGCACCGACGGGCGCATGTAATATTATCATGCGCCTGTTCGGAATATAGAAGAATTTCAACAACATAACACTTTGAGGCTTGTAGTTTGGTTCTATGAAGTATATGATGCCTCATCAATCCAGACTGATTATTATCCACTAGAGATATCTTCCCATGATTGTTATCTGTTTGGTTAGTTTGCGTACCCGTCAACTGTTGATTTTGATGAGCTAGAAATTCACCAAAATCCGGTAGCAAGTTAGCAATGGCTCCATGAGCTTCAGATGGAATGCCTTGACTTATAATTTCCCCTTGTTTATCTAAATCATAATTTTGTGGTTGTATACACATTCCGGACTCTGAGGGTAATGATTTACAATTCAGTTCTATTGGCCAAGGAAAGCTAAAACTTTTCATAATTGGTTCACATTTCGACTGAACATATCGACATAAATTTTGACATGGTTGTAAGGCAGCTGGTGGATTCAAAGCTGGAGTACACATTGGGAAATAAATCGTACATAGAAAAAATTTCAAATACTGTGAACATCCAACATTGATTAAGGAACGGTAGTCATTCATGCGTTTTGCGGCTTCTTCTTGTGTTGTTAAACCCACTGAATTAGGCAACCATGTATGTGTGTATTGAAGGCCATGACAAACAGATTCATGAATTGGAACACAGTGATTCACATCATCTACGCCTTCTTCAGCTTCTCCATGTTGTTCACCTACCCTTTCATTTGAATAAACTTCACTTGGTATATTTCCATTTTGATTAGATTCAATTAGACTTTTCAAATGATCGGACACTTCGATTTCTTTCGAGTTAATAGGAAACATAATCGGCACAACATCCCTTAGCCTTCTTGTGATAAATTGTCGAGGTAAGTATTTCTCACTAAAATTAATATCTTCATTAATTCGGTGATAAAAATGTAAGTTTGAACTTTTAGTAAAATAGTTTTGTGTTTTATACTTTGTATAAGCAGTATCAGCATAGAACTGAGTTAAAATAATCGTTACAGCAATAATAATATTGAATAGGCTAATTTTTTTATGTAAATTCATTCCCGAAATTTGTATCCACATGAGACAATCCATGCAAAATATCAGAATAAAGGAACTGAACCGTTTAGTTTTGTACAAATTACTTCATCGTAAAAACAAATATACTGACGAATAAACATATTATTATTATTTGCTCGGAAATGTATTCTTCTTGACATTATGTTAAAAAGTCATCTGAGATCTGTGAATTAATTTTCGTTGAATGTAGTGCATAAATAAAAAAGAAAACAAGATTTTTGTGTGAAAGCACTGACAAAAACAACACATGAAATTGTAATTCAGTGTACAGATTTATCTTTTCATCATTTAATCCTGATTGGTTACAAACAATTAGCCTATCCTGTAATTAAGATTATTTACCTTGTGAATAAAGAGGTGAATTAAAGGAAAATGTGTGGTTAGCTCAATGTTAGTAAATGTCATTAACTGAAATACTAAGCTAATATACTTTATTATTGTCAAAACTAACTCAACAAGCATTATATACACAACGAACTGACTTTAACTACAGACCAAAGTATACAGTGAACTGTAAACACGTTTAAATTTCAGAAATTGTTAGTATGACGGCTGGTTATTTCCACTCACATATTGATGTATTTGCAGTTGTTTTATAAATCTAATGGAGTTAATAACAATGAGTTTAGCCTGTGCATAAAAATGTATTACTATCATTATGTTTCCTTCAAATCATAAAAATAATATAGGAGTGTCTGTAACGCCTTATATTTTGAATGGAATTTCTGACAGTTTAAAATGAATTATACTGTTTCATTGTAGTTTATACGTAGGATTGAAAAAAAACCCAGAGGTTACTAACTTGAGGTCACTTTTTTGCCTACAGTGGATAATACCGTACATATTTTTTAATAAATTCCCTTGTAAATTAATTCAATTGTTGTGATAAGTTTGTTCAAAGAAGGTGCTATCTAAAAATTGTTAGTTCCTAATACAACCACTATATTTTACACAAGAGCTATAATTTTTCTCCTTTAGTGATTATCTGAAGAAAGGTTTGTAAATCGCTGGTAATAAATAATAAAGTGATATTGTTTTGACGTTTTAAGTATGATAAATAAATAATTTTTTAAAAATATCCACTGGTTTTTCTTTAAATTTTCATACACTTTGCATCTTCATCTATATATGCTTTCATAAAAGGTCAAGTGTAGAGAAAATAAAGTTCATATACATGTACTTCACATTGCATAGAAGTGGTGTAACTAACAATTTACAGCTAATAACGAACACAAAAACTATCTCATAAACATAAAACATATCGTATACTTATGTGATGCAGTGTGGTTTAATGTTATTTGTTTACAATGCTCGATATGATTTATAATGGCATGTAGTTGTAGTGGAATAACCTCAGTAATGAATAAGTTAGGTTTTTACAGAATTATGTTTCAAAGGTCACAATATAATTTATAGCTTGTAAGTAACCTTTGAATGTTCTAAATCAATATTATTAAAACAAAAAATATTGTCTTTTGCAACTGATACCCAAATTTTAAACTTTGTGTTATTAATTATGAGCACATAATTCATTATCGTGTCAAAATATGAGTTTCTTGTTTAGATCATCTGATATTACTTCTAATCATGTTTGATATATTCTGTAATTTGATTCAGCCGGTATTTTTAATTCCAGCATTTGATCGATAGATTATGAGGACTAAACGTTTAGCACCTCTTTGAGGATCTAACAGTTGTGCAGAAATCTTTTTTATGAGCGATTGTTCTATGAAACTTAAAGTTATTCTTCTTGACGTAAGACATGTAGTGAATGAGAACACAAGTAGGGACAACCGAATGTAGTTGAACACAAACTTACAAAACATCTTAGTGAAATCTGAGAATCATACAGTAAATACTTCATTTGCGAAATATCGATTAATTGCCTCAAACTTGACTGTTCCTTCACGGCAATCATTCACTGTTCTTGTTTTCTTTTCTTCGATCTTCTTAACCTTCTGATGCCAGGTATTCCACTTTCAATTAATGATACATACTACTTATGCCTATCGACATCAGTAGCACATACTTATTTGTTCCATTATTATTGAGTAACAATAAAAGTTTAAACTAGACACACCTCAAAAATTCTATCTAACTGGTGGGATATCTGGTTCGCCTCACGAATTAGTTAAGTACTTTTGGTTATGAATAGTGTTATAATGAAAAATAATTCATCGCAAAATATTTCCATTTCAAATGGTTTCAGCAATCATATCATTTCCCTTTATTCTATAATGAATTCTTATGATTTTGATTTGATTTTATATTGGGCACTGTCGAATTTTCGGGGAGAGACTTTGAATTGCTTACACAGTGTGTCTGGAGTTAAACAAAGAAGTTATGTGAGTATATGACTCAATTTTTCTCATATTTATCTACCTTTATCTAATCGGCTCAAGAGTAAAGGCATTTGGAAATAATATCCACATAGTGCTATGGGTTACATTATTAAATATAATCACTTTATAATTACTTCCATCACAATTTTACTGATAAGTCAAATGAATCTAGGAAGTAAGGGCTAGGATTGCATTTGAAGGACCTGGATATCAATAGAATATTATGAAAGCTCCTTTGAAATCGATAGTAATTAATCTTATTAATATAGCTCAGTTTGTACAGCAAGTAAAATAACCTTTCCGATCCCATATTTTTTTTTCTGCAAAACCGAGTACAAATGTCTTTTCTGATCACTAAATATATAGACCTATTTCGAACAACATTCGTGCATAACCAGTATGTTATTTATGTGATAAATTTACTGAAATTATAAACAAAACATTTCGAAAATGGATTAACATGTCATTTAGATGAATATGTACATAATAAACGTATCCTACTAAAATTAGGTCAAACATTTGTTGATGCAACTGATACACATATGTGTGCTTATCTTTGCTTATTTCATTAGACTTCAAAATATATCACTAGTAGTCAGAACAAAAACCACTGTGAACACTAAAATATGTATACATTGGAAAGATAATTGGCGCCTTATGACAGATTGATATCTACATCATCCGTCTAAACAAACATTATCTACACCTGTGATATTAGTTTTCTTACTAAATTTATTTGCGGTTTTTTTAAATAAGTCAGATCATCTCAAAAAATTACACAAAAAAGTTACAAATTTCATGGGCGATAAATTCAATTATTTTGATGTAAAGCCTGTAGACAAGTCTATGAACAACCAGTCAAATAATTATCATATAAACGGATATAATTAAACACGTTCTCAAAATGTTATATATTTACTTGAGTGGATACTTTACTTTGGATGAATCTTTCGTTACAACTCGCTTACAGCAATACTTCAACTAAGTTTTCTATAACAATTTCTGACCTAAATTCTTGATATACTTGGTCACTGTTACTGGGCACCCCTATGCAAAACTCAAAAATCCAAGGTTAGTGTGCATTATGTTTGTATTCGTTAGTGTGATATAACAAAACGGATTTGTATGATAATAGTAACGAATGTGTACTGATTCAATACTGATCGACAAGAGATATGATGAACACCCCAAGAATGTTATATTTTATTGAGCTACTGATTATAAAGAGGAAACTCTTGGCTTGTGACTATGAAGTAAGAATATTCAATAAAAGCATCACTCTTTCTATTTATTGTTAGGCAACTCAAAGTAATAATGAAAAAGTGATTCATGAAGCTACCTATTTGGAATAATCTTGTTAGATAATTTACCCTATTACGGAAAGAACGAGTATAAACAGTTCAGTTAAACTATAGAGCAGAAAAAGTTTTATCTCACTGAACAGTGACCAAGAATCGCGGTTTCTAGTTCAGATATAGTAATGAAAGTTACAATTATACTTTGAGTTTATTCATGTAAACGTATCCTAGGAAGACTTGTCTGAGAATTTTAGGAACAGAATCAATCAGTTAGCTGTGATAACCTTTACTTTGCTACACAAGACTAAACGTAATTAAAAAGCGTCCGCGAGTAATCAGTAACACGGTGAAGTCAAAACTCTTAACCTGGCCCCCAACTGTTCAGGGGACGAAGGGGAGACAAACCATGCATGTGACTATGATGGATATAGATCTTATGCGAAACTATAATTCTTCATACACAGGTTTCCATCCCAGTGAATAATAATTACATTTTGGTAACTCCGCCTGTAGCCCTTTTCGAGTCACTGCCGGCTCCATGACAGGATAAAGAAGGAGGGTTTGGCATAGGGTTAGCAATCTCATCCCGTAGAAAACAGCCTTTCTAAAAAGCGCTATCCAAGCAGGATAGAGATTAGCTTCGGTAGGGATGCTGTCGTACTCTGGTCACGAAGAGAATGCCTTCCACACACAAGGTGTTTCACTGAACGAAAACACTTACAAGATGGGAATCTCATGGATTTAGATTAACTAAAGAATTCTTCTAAACAAGAACAAAGGGTTCACAATGAATGTAATCCAGCGTTATGTGTTTGTCAATGATAGCAAAGAAAGACGATAAGGATTAGTTTTAAGATAGACTGATGTCAATCGTAGAAAAATGCCCAGGGAAGGACCGGAACATTCTGATGGGAGACCTAAACGCTAAGATCGGAATGAACAACACTGGATATGAAGATGTCATGGGACGACATGAACAGGGAGAAAAAAATAAGAATAGTGTGAGACTCGCGAATCTATGTGCTTTCCACAAAATGGCTATAGATGGCACTATATTTCCCCATAAATCCATAAATAAGCTACATTGGTCTAACCAGCGAACAATATTGATTACATCTGCATCAGTAAAATATCATAAGATCCGTGGAAGACGTAAGAACAAAGAGAGGGGTTGACAAAGCTTCAGATCACCACTTAGTTGTGGGCAAGATCAAACTGAAACTAAAGAAGCACTGGACAACTAGAGAAACAGCATTAAAAATGTTTAATACAGTCATCCTTCGAGATACTGACGAACAAACACAGGCTGAGTACACAGAAGCAAACAGGAAAGTGAAGAAGAGCATTAAAGCTGACTGGCGGAAATACATGGATAACTTAGCAATAACGGTTTTAAAGGCACCAAGAAAAGGGAATATGAGACAACGAAGAAACTAGCAGTGAAATGTGGTGGACCAGAGTGACCAGTCAAGAACAAAGAATGTAAGTCAATCAGTGAGACCCAAGAACAGCGGAACAGATGGGAGAACACTTCGAAGGACTGTTGAATAGACCAGACTCAGTGAACCCACCAGACACCG